CGAGCAGGGGCGTGTACAGGGGGGGTCCAGGGAATCCGGACCCCCCCCCCTTGCTCGCACAGAAAACGCATCTAAGGGGGTCTAATTTTAAAAAATTTCTGGGGAAGGGCCCCCCAGACCACCCCTTCGCGTGCTCGCAACTTTGGGTTACGGTTAGACCCATGCACCCCTGGTACAAATCCTGTACACGGCCCTGCCGAGAAAATTGCCAATATTGAAAAACGAACCCCCCCCCCCAATATAAAGCTGGATACGGGCCTGATATTCTATGATAAAGATGTCCAAAATTGATTGCTTTTAGAGTGCAACTTTTTAACAATTCCACACAGTGGGAGGGGAACACCCACTCCAACACCCCCCTCCCCCCCGGGTGCTTCGTGCCCTTGAGCTCGCATGATTCGCCCCCCCCCCTAGAGTTTTCTTCTGGATCCGCCACTGGTTGTGTGTGTGGGGGAGGGGGGTTGCGTGTTATTAAACCTCTGGGATCTAAAGAAAAAAATTACCTTAGAATTGACAAAATTGCACTTCCAATATCAATTTTGTTCAATTCCCTCAAAAACGGCCATCTTGAAGGTTATAAATTGCTAAGATCCAAGAGCTTCCGGGGGCTCCGCCCCCTGGACCCCGGGCAAAGGCTCTGCCCCTGCACCCCTAGGGTGGGCCCCTGGACCCCACCCTTTAATGGCTTTGCGCCAAGGCGCTCACAGTGTGCGCTTCTCGCGCACACTCTTCATATACATTGCGATGGAAGTAACAGCGAAATCATCCCCCCCCCACAACTGAAAACCTGTCTACGCCACTGTATCTAGCTATTCATCCATCCATCCACCCATCCGACCTGTCTACAAATCGGAGCTAATCTGACAGGTGCGTAGCTGGGGAGGCCCCCCTCCTCTCCCGTCTCCCCCCTCCTGAACCCTCACCTCAATAATGTAGCAGCGACTTTGATCAAATATGACAGCTTCGCACCATCTATCGAGAGAAATAATTCATATGCGCACATTGTATGTTGTGTGTAACCGTAAAACGCATTATTAAATGTATTATAATGATCTAAAACGTATTTAACGTAGAGTGGAATTAGTATAATTACAGTTCCTATACAAAACAACAGTTACTGGATAAGATTGGTAAAGGTTTGGCTGTGACATTCCCATTCTACACTTCGATATATGTATTTCAATAATGTAGCAGCGACTTTGATCAAATATGACATCCTCGCGCCATCTATCGGTAGAAATAATTCATATGCGCACATTGTATCTAGGTAGACTACTGATCTCTATAATAAAATCATGATATAGATTATTATAGTGAGGTGATCCCGACACCATTATTGAAATACATACATCAGGTCAGGAGTTAATAAAGGCAAATCATCTCTGGAAAGGCTCTCTGGAAAGTCATGAAAAGTGTTTTAAATCCTATTGTAGGGTTAAGTCTAGGGTTGAGATAATGTCATCACACATCAGAATATATGGCCCTAAGTATGCCTCAGATTGCAGGAAAATGGCTTAAATATTTCAAAATATCCTGGGGACCCCACACCCCATAGCGCTGATGTGCCTACGCCGCTGCACGCGAGGATGCCTGCGGCAACCCAGGTACATCCCCCCCCCCCTGATATATGTATTTCTATGCGGGGACCATCCATATAGACTCCTATACTATCGATGTTGGCAATACCAGGAGACAAAAGTTGTGTATAATGTGTATGTGTAATAGTGTAGGTATGTTATATTGTGTCACAACATTGATACACTCGTTTAACTAGTATATTATTTATATAGAACGATCTATTGTGTATATTGCTTCATTGTTCTAAGAGTACCATAGAAATCGCAGCCGATTATTTGGCCGATTTATTTGTTATTTCGATTTCGATTTGGTGGGGAGGGTGTACTTGAAGTTCTCGTACGCGTTTCGCCGTTTCGTACGTAAGAAAGATACGAAGTTTATATATTTACAATCGATTGAAATGTATTTATTATCGAAATGCTATTATCTAGCGAGAGCACACCGCTGTAGCGGGAGATCTAGAATAGAAGGGACTACTATACACTTACGCTCAGTTCCTAGTTTGGGACCAAGGTATATATAATATAGCTCGCATATATGTGCTAAACTAATCGGGCATTATAAAAATAGGAATAGATAAGGATGGTGTGCAAGCACGAATGCTACATGTGCACAGGCACTATAGGACCGTTTTAAAGGGGTTAATTGTGCCGTTTTGGCTGTTTTAAATAAAATGATGGTAAATTAACATTGCGTTACCATGAAAGTATTTACTCCGTTGCCTAATACCACGTAAACGTCGTCAAATGATCCTTTACAATACACAATCTTGCCACACATTCCTCTGCAGAATCACAAACAAGAGGTCTCGTGTCTGTGGCCAGCTATGTGTGTGACGTACAACAGACAATGTAGGTAAGAGTGTACATAAATATGCATATATTATCATACACACATGCCTATACTGACTTACCTCTAGAATTAATAAATGTAACTGTAGCACTTTTACATTTGATAATTTACAAGGTCAGTAGTTGCTCACTGTGTAAGGAGTTGCGCATGCGATCACGTTTGGAAATTGCATATGGAATGCGTAGGTTTTTGACATGCTTAGTCAAACCTCAGTTAATGTAAATTGTATGGTCCGTAGTCAACTCGACTCACCGGCTAACTCATGTAAGATGTTTCACATGCATGATATTAAAACGTTTGCGTGTAGGTTAGTACATTTGTGATAGATGCATGAGTAATAGATATGTATAACATTTATTTTAGTCTCGGCCGATCTCCACAGGCCTTGTCTCAACACACGAGTCGTGCACAGCACGTTACATGCCCTAGGTTACCACAGTCAAAACACAGCGAGATTTTAAAATAAATGTTATTGAAATTAAATTGTATATATATCTATTCCTCATGCATCTATCACAGAATGTACTAACAGACACCCAAACGTTTCAACGTCGGCGCGTGTGAAACATCTCACATAAGACAAGTTTAGCTGATGAGTCGAGGTACCCTATCTCCAGTTGAGACATCTCTACACACTGAGATTGGAGTGTCAGAATATTAAAGTTATAATCAAGAGATGTAAAAGGCGTCATTTGCATTTGGAGTTTTCTCATGACTTCAAAATTATGTATATTTACAAGTTTTTAACACTCATAAAACAGCATGAAGCCATGTTTGGTAAATGGGCATAAAACCAGTTTCTAACGTGTAATCTTTAACGTACTATATACATTAGAACACGGACATCTAGAGTGTGAATGCATTGGTGTACGATACAACACTTCAGAGCCAAGATTTGATTAGCCCTCAAATTATGTAACAATCGATTCAGGTCATAAATGTTGTAGTTAAATACTTTTAAATACTTTACTGATTACACTGTAACACGTAAAAAAGGCCAAAAACACTCATCATGTTTCAATTGTAGTAAAAGGAAAAGCTTATTAGACTAAAACCAAACAAACTGCTATACTGTTATATGCACAAAACGAAACCATCGCAAAATAGTAATAACCTAGCCAAACGCATTAATTTTAACCAGGTCACATCTGTTGTGAACCAGAAACAATACCAAATTATGTAATTTGTATGAGTTCTTTAACACGGAAACACGCACTATAATACGATGATTACTAACATTTTCCTTAAACTAAAATAAACAATGATTCACACACTATAGCTATATTAAAAAATTATGCTGCATTGCTTTACATAAAAATGTTTTGTTTGATCTGGTTGCACTGTAAACCCAACATTTAATAGATGAACTCATGACATTAATGCCATCACTGCATAAAAACTTGCCAGTCACGTTTATAGGTATATTGCAAAATTCATTCTCTGATATGCATGGCCACCTCACTTTCTACATACTGATATGCATGGCCACCTCACTTTCTACATACTGCAACAACTTTTTATAGTCATAGATGGAGGAGGAAGTCTGCATCATGCACGAGAAAATTGCTTACGAATCAGAAACTTTTTACTCGACATCTTATTTCAAGTTTTTATTGCAAGCTGAATCGAAGCCACGACCGTCCCGGTTTTACATCGCGACGACATTGTTACGGTTGCAGGTAGAAATTGTCGTTGCCATGGTCACAGGTGGAGGAAATCATCATCGTCGCACGCAAGAGCCTCATCTAAATTGAAGCCTTCCCAGAACTTTTCGCTCGCATCTCTATTGGAGGCTGCGCAAGCATCCTCCTCCGCAGTGTGATCCGAGCTTCCTGTGTGGAAATTTGATAAACAACTGACCTCACCGTACTGTCTCAGCTCGTTGAAAATAGCTGTGTCAGTTACAACATTGCCGAGTAACCACACCATCTCACAGCCATCATACACACATACAAAGTCAATACTTATATTTTTTCCCCTTTTATAATTTTTTTTCTCTCTTCCTAGCGCTTCAATTCTTAAAACTGGTATTTTTTTTTGAAAAATTTATTAATTTTTCAATTTGACTGATTCTCTCAGACAAAGAAGTTCTCTCCTCTTCAAGTTTTGAATATTCTCACTAGCACTGTACACACACACAAACACGAACATGCATTTCTTTCAAACTGTCATTAGCACTCACCCTGCAGAAGCACAAAATCATAAAGGTCCTGGGTGTTGCCAGAGCCTGCTGCTGCCTCCTGGATTCTACCCTGGAAACTCATGCCTTTCTGCGCCGCAGGGATGCGGGAATCGCTACCAAACTCGCTTAGCGCCATCGTGAGAATGTCAGATGTGAGCTCGGACTGTGGCAGAGTCCCAGCTATCGGCGACGCATGCGTCACCGTCGTGGCTGATGACGCTGCGATGACAGAGCCGAACGGAGAGCTGGGGGGCGTTGCCGGGGTTACGTCCGCAAAGGACGACCTGTCAGATGCTTCGGAATTGTTGGAGATGATCTCGAAGTCATCCCTGCAAGATTGCAGCATAGAAATACAATACACGTCAACCGGACAATCAATGCCCTATAAAACTCATGTTCTCGTTACTCTCTTGTTAAAATTTTATTAAATATATTAATTTTTTACACAAGATTCATCAACGTTATTTGCTTAGACCCTACTACAATACATTAAACATGTCACGTATGTCTGAAATGCTAATCAATAACTGTTTCAGCCTAAGAGTCCACACTGTCTAGCATATTAGGGTTCTTTTACTTCTTTAACAATTGAGACCCATCGCATTTTGAAGATGTAGTAATTTAATGAAGAGAATCGAGCTATCATAGCTTTTCCCTCTGCACTAACACACCAACGAAACGTGTAGACCCTAGAGACCCTGCACAGCAAGATCACTGAGGATATGCCCAGCTTTATGAACAACCTGTACTCACCCGACAGAGCTAATGGCTTCATTCTCTCCAGACCAGTTATGCAGTACCCGCCTCCACACCTGCACCTGCCCGTCCCACCGTCGACGACTCATCTTCAGGAACTTGTTTGGAGTTTTGGGATGTCCCGACTCACGCATATGCCTGCAACAGCATTATACATACATGCACTCCCAGATGCAGCTTCAGCAGCAACGACAACAACAATGAAAACAACCGTATTCATTTCATATAACAATGACATGGTATATTTCTCATTAGCTGAAAACTAATAAAAGTTAGACTAATATGATGCTCAACCCACTTTATCAAATAATGACAAATCACTAAGAGCCAGTGGGCTGCAGATAGCAAACAAGTAGCTGTATTTGTCAGCTCAAAGTTTGCATCATAAATCCTTCGCAGTAGCTGGTAGTGGTAGGGATTAAAGACTCACTTGGGCAATGCAGTGACATAGTTCCGGTAGACCAGATTGTTCTTCCCATACTCTAACTGCTTCTGTCTTCTCAAGAGAATTTCAATGTTCTCTTCCAACTCTTTCTTTGGTCTGTAACATAATTCAGTGTTTACCTGGTCAAAATCTATTCCATATAACACAAATATTATCAGCAACAAACTGCAGGAAAACTCTTAATATAGTATACCAAATTAATACAGTAACAAAAAACGCAGAACTAGGTGTTACGCGTCCGGTCATCCATTACAAAGCTGATAGGCTTGATAAGCTGATAGTCACGATTGGGCCATGCCACCCTTCAAATCGTTGATTTTACTGGATTTACTATTGCTTCAAAAGTTACAAAAACACATTTTTTAAATAAAATACCTAAAGGTAAGTAATATTAGGTTAAAACTTATTGTTTATAGTTTTTTACTGAAAACATATAGTTGGGTTCACATAAGAAATATATGACCGGACGCGTAGCCTGGATTTCCAACATTTTACTTTTCCCAATCACAACATATACACGCCTTCACGTTATCACAGCTTGATGTATACGTCGTTGAACTGATAGAGTTATCTGTGTAATAGATCCGCACTTGTGACACACTCCAATTGGCAATCGAGGACGAATTACCCAATTGCCCGACATGCCTACTGAAAATTCTGGGGAAGAACCCTGTATAGTAGTAGTAATTTTTTACTTATAGCCACCACCACATATTCATGTGCGTATTAGTCTGTATATAAATGTTTGCTACTACTAATAGCAAAAAAATACTTCTAAAATAATTAATGTCACAAGACACTACATATTACCCAGTTGTCTCATAATTCATATTTTCAATGAACTCCTTGTAGGAAGTTAGTCCTTTCTTCATCTCCTCCTCCTTCTCTTCAGCCTCCTCCACCATGTCCCCCCAGCTGGTATTGCCAGTGCTGCTGCTACTATTCTGACGCATGGTCAGTCTAGCGCGCTCTGGCAGGGCTTGCTTCTCTTCTACCACATCCTGCCTTCCTCCGATTACTGCAGAAATGTTGCTATCGCTTTTCTGAAGGGGACGACTCTGAGCATTAACTTGTCTCTTGCTTCTGAATCATGCGTAATGAACACTCATTTTAATGTCAACGATAATTGTAGAATGTGGATCTGGATCTACAGACTATTAATAAAGCATTGGTGGTTGGTAGATAGTAAAGAATATATTACATACACAGTGTTAATCATGAGAGATAGCTATCACATGAAACGAACATATGAAATTCATTCTGCATATATATACGACTGGTGAAGCAATCAATTGCAAGCCACTAACAATCGTATCAGGGTTGTATAATAATTACATTACATATTAATAATTTTCAAAGGCTATTATTGAATATTTAAAGATTTTGGATACCAACATTGTTGAAATTACTATCCAACAAATGGGATGATACCAGATCTTTGAGGGGGATATCAGATTTCAATACCTGGTATCCCGAATGGATACCATAATAAAAATCTAATTTCGACCCCTGCGTATCATCGCTAACTTTATAGCTCAGTGGCACCAAATGATATACTCGTTAAACTTAAATGGGGCAGTGCAATGCTGTGCAGTGAAAAGGCTGGGTGTATCATGTGTACATGTAACAACATCAGTGACGCCAGTCATTGCTCACTACACGTACGTGGGCAATCAAAAGTTCACGTGCATCGTTATATGGAGAAATAAGTATGTACAGAGGTGGCACCTAATGTTGGCCATCAAATAACAATGAAAATAAAAAAATATATAAAATTTCGCATAAAAGCTTGAGTGTATCTTAAAACGTAACTGTGTAACCTAAAAGTATAATTCAAAATAAGTAATCTTATTAGTTGCAACGTTAGGGAACATGTATTCTCGGCATTATATATCCATAGTAAGATCTTTACCCAGGGATGAGATTGGGTAATTTAATTTTCAGCTGAAACTTTAATTAGCAAACAGAGGAGCGAGCAATGCGAGGACCGTAGGTCATCGCCATGCTAGGGGGGTCCGGGGGCATGCTCCCCCGTAATTTTTTTAAAAGAATGGTGCAATTTGGTGCATTCTAAGCTATTCTGAACAAATTATAGGAGACTCTTGAATCACCTTTTCAAGTTGTCAAAAGGAACAAACGAACTATAATAGGAAATCAGGGGGCTGAAAATAGGGCAAGTTTTTTTTATTAAATGTCTAGGCATAATGATATTTTTCTGTTTCCACCCGTCGCTTGCATTGTTTTACTCAGACATAAGCTGCCTTGCTGCGACCAGATTTGAATGAAAAAAAACACAATGCGAATGGAACAATCAGTGCATAGTCATGCACACAACATGCACGCAGCAACATGTAAACCCGGCCCCCAGGCCAGGCATGGGCGTTACGTGATCAGCTACCTCAAATGTCTGCCCCTCTACTGCAGCCTGTGAACGAGGATTTTCTTTTCTGGTACGCAAAAACAGATACACTGTATACTTCGCTGTCAGCCTACTGTCTACACTCTACAGTCTACAGTCAGGTGCTGTTGAGGGTATATAATTTAAATTGTTACATTGTTACCCCCCTCCCAATTTTCTCAACGAATTTAGACGTTTCACAAAATCGACCCCTGGGACTGTCAAATCCTCGGATTTCCGCGGATCCGCGGAAGAATCTCATCCCTGTTTACCTGGGAGCTTCCTTGCCATCATTGTCCACGCCATATCTCTGCTCTCTGGCCCATCGGCGATTTCTCCTGCATTATAAGAGATTCAATTTGAAAATAATATAGCATATGAACAGTCACGTTTTAAAGGAATTATTACATAAATAATTGCACGATCAAAGAAAAACATAGTGAAATATAGTCGCACCTAATAGTGAACATATTACGAATTACTTCAGTATAAAAATTACTATGGGTTTATACTGTTAGTGTTATGGTATATAAAATAGCAAATAATGCAGCCACTTTTCGGGTCGTGACGATTCCCTTGTAATCGGCAACCAACAGACAAAAGTGCATCTCGTTGAGTGACGTAGTGGTTCTAGATTGGTACAATATATCGATCTATTGCTTAAAAAGGAATACATTATTCTAGGTTCTTTGGATATTTTCAGTTAAAATAGGTTAAAATTATGCTACATTGTTTTATTGAAAAAATATGATGGAAATCTCACCTGTCTCTGTTCTCTCCATCTTTCTCGTACTGTGGTTGGTTTGGTCGAAGAGGGCTGCGTAATGGACTGAACTCTCTGCTATCATGCCTGTTCCCATTTCCTGTTCTAGATGGAGACCTGTGCAATTAAATTTCTTGAGACTAAATGTAAGGACAAAGTGACAACTGGTGTAGGATTACATTATCCGTCTAAGGATCACAAGCATCTATGATTATGGGAGAACTGGAAAATGAAAAAACTGGAATGGAATGAGAATGAGAGATTTAGTCCGAGCCGACGCAGACCCCAATAATGGGACCCAATAAACCCGCACCCTCAGATTAGCAAAGCGGAGTTATAACGTCTGCATTTGCGGACTAGAGAGATTGGGCGGCCCAAGGATAGAGAACATGGGTCCCAATAAAACCAATGTGCCTAACCGGTAACCCTAATCCTAACCCTAACCATAACCCTAACCTATTAGTATTATATTGATATAATATTATCTTTATATTGATGTAAATGACATTGGTTTTATTGGGACCCATGTTCTCTATCCTTGAAGTTGAACCGATTGGGCCAGTGCAAAAAAATGATTTACATGCAGCTGGCATATCACATTGGAATTTACAGTAATTTCACTAATTTGTGATATTGACTGCACTAGGCAAACATGTTCAAAGTTTAAGTTGGGTTGTAAGCAAACAAATATTGGTTTAAAAATACACTTGTTGTAATAGTACTACTAGCTACGTACCCGTTTGAAGAGCCTTTCCTGTCAGACTGCCGAGGGACATGGAATTGGAATTCCTTGCGTCTGCGGTATCGGTCTCGTTCATTACGATCGTGTTGATTTCCGTACTCACTCGAACGGTTGTTCACTAATTCAGATCCGTGAGGCATCTTAAATTATTAAATTCTAAAATGGCGCAAAAAAAACGATAGGTCGATAGAAGATGGAGAAAAAAGAACCGAAAAACTAGGAACCTACAACTGATCACTGGACAGAATGTTGTCTGTTGTTAGAGAGAAATTTCGCGCCAGAATCTGCGCTTGCGTAGACGGTAGTCGTAGTTCGGACTTGCGTAGACTGGTACCCGGTCCCACCTCTCGGCTTAGTTACTCGATGGGATGATCGGATCATGTGAGTAATCGAAGTGGGAGCGAGTACCAGTCTAGGACTTGCGTAGTTGATCAATTTGAGCCAAAAATATAAGAAATATTATTTGCCAGATCTTACTCTATAGTAATGTAGAGTATAATCGTTTATATTTTATTACATGAAACATATATTTTTTCTCATTTTAATTTAGCAAGGTAGATTTTTATATGCAGAAGTTATTGTTCTTGACGCTGATTGGTGGGCTGTCTGTTATTGGTTTAAACTGACTGGCGGCGTATTCTACGTGCAGATAGTGCACTCCTTCTAGCTTTTGTTCTGCTTTTAATGTTCTTTTCTATATGCTTCAGCTTGTGGTGAATAGGTAAGTGCGCACATTCCGTAGTTAATAGATTTTTAAGGATTGCTTTGCCTTTTGTTTTTTAAGAATTGCCATGGCGAAACCACTCATTTCTGATTTCACGATAGGCATACGCTCGATCGTCGGACTGCCTAAGGAGTCTAGCAGTAGTAGCAGGAGTCTATCACCTGGTAGTAGTAGTAGTAGTAGTAGTACTAGTAGGGCCTAGTAATAGTATTAGTATTAGTATTATTACTAATATTGCACACGGAGTGACGGGGCGTCTTCCTTAACATTTCGTTGTGTCCGATTTACTGAGTACTGAAGACTGTGCAGTGAAGTTGGACAAATGACGTGGGATAAATGACGTGTAAACACTGGAAAACTAAATCGTCCATTTATGGTTATAACTTATGTTGTGTTTGCTTGTTTAGTTTAGGGCCTACTCTTACTTTTAGTTATTGAAATTGAAGAGTGATCAACTTGCAAAATTATTATCATTATTGACATTAACGAGAGCTAATAATGTTTTAGCAATAATGAGCCTATTTTGTGTAAATGGTAATACTATTACTCGTGATCTCTTAAAATATATTTAACCATCCTAATTGGACCAGTTTTATGGCATTGCCACTTGGCAGTGTAGACTGCATAGTGAGTGATCAATATGACAATCAACACAACCCAATTGCAGGTAATGGGCGTGTGTGCTGTTACTCAACTTACTGTTTATCTTTCAATCTTAGGTTAATACTTCTTGCTGCATAAAGACCTCAGAGGTTGTATACACATAACAAGAATGCACAGCTAGCAGCAGTCATTGGCCGGCAGCCGCGCCAGAACCAGCGAGCAGCTCTGTCCAGCAGACAAGAATAATTGTGCAAGTTATAGACACTGAAGTATGTCGGGTTCTAAGTCATCACTGCCATTGCCAGTCATGGATGGTAATGCTGTCTTTGGAAATGAGAGCAGTGTGCCCTTACCAACGGGTGTTATGTCACCTATGACAGACCTGGCTGTTAACCTGGGCAGTTTAAGCACGAGATCAGATGTTGAGCTAAGAGCACTTCCATCGCATCACGAAAGGTTAGTATGCACATATTTTTCTTGTTTGGTATTACTCAAATTTACGTATGAATCATCAAAACCAAAGGTCAACTATTTAATTTTTAATTGTCTACCTGTTTAGCAAGCTCGTGTATTTGAATGAGCATTAATGTTTTTCTGTGCCAGATTTAATAAGATCCATGTAATCTTTGTTATTAGTTTGGGAAGCACGCCAAAATGCAAGCTATCACTGTCCTTATCAGATACGCCAACCCTAAAACCCTGGATGCAGCCGTTTAATTGTGGTAAGTACAAATGCTTTAATAGTCTAGTAGTGAATTATTATTTAATGCAATGTTTCTTCTATGTATGTGTATTTATATCAGCATATTTATGCACCATAACGTATGAAGTCGTGAGCTAGGCCTCAGTGTACTAAATGCAGAACTAGATATTGTATGTTTTGTCTGTATCCGATGTAACATTCTTTAGCGTGTTCCTGAGTTGTGCACTGGTATCATCACCAGCTAAATGTATCTTCTTGGTATATTTATATAGGTAAATAAATTTCTACTGCTTTTCCCATTACCTATGGTAGAGAAGAATCCACTGTTATAATATACATGTGTAGACACATGTTCAAGGTGACATTGGTGCCACATAGCTTAAGTACAGATTTTGTAAATATCAGGTTTCACATGGTATACATGTATAACGTAATACATGATATGTAAGTCATATAAAAACAATATATATCTCTTATAATATTTAAAGGGGATACACTTTATTAACAGGCGACTTTCTTTAGTGGTTATATTCAAAATTACTCTGTCTGACCCATAGCCCATTCTGAAGTGGCATGTAAATCCATTATCCTTTCCACGCACACATATCTTCTAATCCAAACACACTGTACAAGCCATTCGGCTAATTAGAGAACAAGAGTACTTGGAGATATTTGTCAATGTGCTGGGCTAGACTCTTTGTTCTGCCTCTTTCCACCAGATTTAGCTGGAAAGGTCAAACACCTTATAGATAGCTGGACAAGCCAATGTAATATACGACGTGTTTGCGTGCGTTCCCCGAGAGTTTGTGCTTTCATTTCTATATGTATACGTTCACTGACTAGATTCCCTTGCAAAATCACCATAGGACAGATCAACATCTTCCGAATTTGATTAGTTAATTGCGAAAAATAATGTTTATCCTACTACACTATATATCAATCAACTGTGTGGTTGTCCGTATTCAACATCGTTGCGGTGTTCCGTGGCCTGTAAAATGGAAGGCATATTAGTTATTACCCCTCACTCTTCACACTATGGTGCTTGGACAGGGTAGGTAGAACTAGCTGTGTGCCACATTGCGAAGGTTCTTGTTTGAGCTTTGGTGTTGTTTTTAGTTTTTGTAATTAAACCGCGGTAAAACTAATTATTTCTTAGTACGATGGCCAACCATACACGCCGCTGTGCACAAACAACAGAAACATGATGACCAGAAATCTGTCTTGTTTTTGTGTGTGCACAGCGGCGTACGTGCGATGAGATTGCGTGTTGCAAAACAGCGTTTGAACGGCATTTACATGGATAACATTGAGGCTTTGGTAGTAAATACATTTCGTGTTTATTTACCATCATTTTCTTATTGAATCGTTCCAAATGGCTGTGATAGAGACAAACGTAGTTCCCCTGGAAAAAACTCGCGTGGCTAGCCGTACCACCTACTACATGACAGCCTCTACAGTTCACACGCAATTTTGTAGAGCCTCTTCCAGCTATCTACCAGTGTAGCCCATTCACTCCCGCTACAGGAGCGTTTCAGGTAGCGGGAGCAAAGGGGCTACACCGATAGAGTTAATACTCGACCGAGAAAATATATCGTGTGGTCATACGCGGGCAGGTTCTGTTGCCTTCAATTTATCCACTGGTGTAACTGACAACGCGTTTTAATTGGTGTGCGCTTTGTCGAGTGTTTATCCTTGAAAAATATTTGACATCGTCTGCCCTTTGAATTCTCACCAGAGGTACCTTTCTTGCGTGCAAAGGTAGTGATTACAAGCCCAGGAGGTACTGGCAGAGAGCCAAGTGATGTTAGTAGGCTTGCTAGTGGCCTTTGTGTCAGCTGCTAGGTCACGAAACAGTCAACCAAGCAGCGCCCAGCGTTTGTATTAGAGCGCTCGTGATTGGCTGAACACGAATGCGGGGTGCTGGCGGGCGTACAGATATCAGCTGGCAAACAGACGCGCGTACATTTCAATGAGCAGAGCAATGTACATAAGCGAGAATCAGTTATATCGGCTTGCTTGTGCGTTCATTCGGCTATATCCTGTCACGGAAATTAGAAGACATGTTTTCTACTTGACTGACACATTGCAGAAGAAGTGTTGTCTCCGGGTTTGAGGCATTAACGAATACTGTAAATTTATACACACGCACATGCACAAACAAACACGCACACACACACACACACACACACATACACACACACACACACACACACACACACACACACACACACACACACACACACACACACACACACACACAC